GCCAGTTCTGGCTGGTAAAGCGACTATCTCTATCGCTAACTATTGACAACGGGATTCCATTCACACTAACCCAAAAATCAAAGAACTTTCGTATAACTAAATCCGTACGGGCCTCTGCAGGCAAGGGAAGAAAAAACAGCATACTTGCTAAATCGGTCAACTATGACCATGACTTGGCTATGGCCGTGTCTACTCTTGACACCGGCATCCATAAAATCAATGGAGACCGAGTCTCCCGGCTGGTCTGGAATAGGCAAGGGTCTGAGAAGACCTAGAGGGGCGTGCGTAGTGGTCTTGTTTCGCTGGCAAACTTTGCAACTGCGAACGTACTCTATGCAGTCAGCTTTCATTCGTGGCCAGGTATACGCACACATCAGCTTGGCTAAAGTCTTCTGCCAACCGAAGTGTCCCTCTGTGTTATGGCATCCCCCTAGGATTAGACTACGAATCTCCTCACTGTTGGGGATGCACAGGCGGCCTACTACATTAGTCTTCTCAAACATCAGTCCTTCAGTAGTGCGGTAGTCTGGTTCGGTCTCTAGGGCCTCCTTAACTCTCTTGAGGAGGTCACTATAGATGGGGTCCTGCGCATATGCCTGTCGGACTTTCTCTTGCAGGTCCTTTCCTATGTCTAGATAGTGCACTATAGCTCCAAAGTAGTCTGACTTCCTACTTAGAGCATCCGCACCTACGTTGTACTTGCCTTTGACCGGTTTGAGCTCAAAGTCATATTGGTCTATCTCAGCGGCCCACCTAGTTAACTTAGGTGTCATCTTGGCCTGGGTCTTTAACCATCTAAGTGTCTCATGGTCAGAATATACTTTGAAGTGCATCCCAAGCAGATAATGCTTCCAGTGCTCTAAAGCCTGCTTGAGAGCGTCTCTCTCGTATGTCGAGGTAGCTACCTTCTCTGAGGGCATCCTCGCTGACATGAACTCTTCGGGTCTGTAGCCATTGCCGTCTTCTTGCTGCAACACGGTGCCTATACCATACTGACTCGCGTCCGTGGTGACGACAAATGGCAAAGACGGATCAGCTACTTTGAGGACAGGGTATTCTATTAACGCGCGCTTCAGTTTCTTTAGCGCAGACGTACAATCTTTGTCCCATTGCCAAATTGCCTCTTTCTTTAGCAACCTGCGCAAGGGAGCGATGATGGGAGAGAAGTTCCTCACGAACTTTCGATAGTAGTTAGCGAGGCCTAGAAACGACCGCAATTCTGTCAATGTGCGGGGCGTCGGCCAATCTCTAATCGCCGCTATCTTACTGTCCTCTGGCCCAAGTACAAAACCTGTGTCTTGGCCCACTCGCACTTCTTCGCATTAATCTTGAAGTTAGCTTCTCTCAGCTTCTCCAAGACTTGTCTCACATGACCCTGATGCTCTTGGAGGGTCCTGCTGAAAACTACTACAAACTTATCTAACCAAGGTCTAAACAGATCATTCATACAACGCTGAAAGGTGGCTGTCGAGTTGGTTAGTCCTAAGGGCATCACTATGAACTCATAATGCCCATATCTAGTCAGGAACGCAGTCTTGTACTGGTCATCAGGATGGACTTCTATCTGATGGTATCCGGACTTCAAATCTATCGTAGAGAAATACTTACAACCCTGTACCCGATCTAGAAGATCGTCTATCCTGGGCAGCGGTTCAACATTCTTCACAGTAATCGCATTCAAACCCCTATAGTCTATACACACACGAAGCTCTCCTTCCTTCTTGGGGACAAACATGACTGGTGCTCCAAAAGGAGATGAACTGGGCCTGATCCAACCTTTCTCGAGGAGCTCGTCTAACTGCTTGCGTAGCTCCTCTAACTCTCTAGGGGACATCCTGTAGACTGCTCCCTTAGGAGTCCTACTACCATGCTCTATCTCTATCCTGTGCTGGATGGGTCGCCGCACTACTCCTGTCGGCGACTCGGCCTCACATACACTACGAAGATCTGATCCTCTAACTGCTCCTTTTTCACTAGTCGCGCGAACGCGGGAGCACTGAGGCAGAAGTGTGCCAAGGTGTTGTCTACACCTGACACATGAAACAGGTGGGCAGTCTTAACCTCGCCAGATGGACTAGGGAGCCTACACTCATGCTCTCTCAAGTGGAGTGTGGCCCCTGCTGCCTCTCCCCAATCCATTCCTAACACTATGTCGAAAGGAAGGTTAGGAGAGTCAGGGAATGGAGAACTTTCTCCACCTTCCCATCCCATCCTTCTCTAGGCGCAAGTACGCCTGGACTCCCTCTACGTAGTCCTCAACACGCATTGTGCGGTTGTCTGCGAGGACACTGACTATAGGGTCTGCTAACTTTTGGACTTTCAATCCTAACCTCAGCTTCTTCAGCGCTCAACGGCTAATATAACTACGGGTCGCCCCTGAGTCTATAAGGGCCCCTACTCTGCTTCTAAATACTTCTACATCGACCAAGATCGGTTGTCCCTTACTCTCCTTCTTCATTTTGGCCCAGGCTGGCATCCTCTCCTTCAACTCTTCTGCCACACCTGTGAGGGACGTGCCTAGAGAGACGCTAACACAAGCAGTCTCTGGACAGCTAGCTAGGCACGGGCCTACAACCTCTGCCATAGGCTCATGTGGTTTGGGAGTTTCCTGTTCGCGCGCACTCGCTTCCCCACATGGCCTTGAAGTAGGGGTAGTAGCGACCCCTACTGGCGGCGGCCTTTTGACTGCTGAGCAGCCCATCGGGCCTGTCTGTACTGAGGACAAAATTTAATCATGTAGGCCGGGTCACCACAAAACACGCACTGACCCAAGTTCACGCACTCCTGCCATACGCGTTGGTCCAAGCCCAAGTCTTCCCAGAGCCTGCCCTATGGCAAGCCTGGGTGCCATCCTCCTTGAGGTGACCTTCCACCTCGTCGCTGTGGGGACCGACAAGAACCCTGGCGATTTGGCGGGGGACCTTGACCCCTACCTCCCACTTGGCGGTTCCCTTGTCCGCCAACCCCTTGTGCGCCTGGTCCTCGGCCTCCCATGGCCTGGCCCCTTTGGCCCTTGCCTCCTCCTCTACTTTGCAGCCTCCATCCAGCCGCGACAGCAGCATAAGACCTCCCCTGCCCCACGCTACTGTCCTCCTCCTCAAGGCCCCACTCGATCTGACTATATGGGACCTCATATGTACCACCCTCCTCCAAGGTAAGGATCATGTGATCCTTGGCCCTGACTTGGCCAGAGATGGTACGACCTTTCCACTTTTTGCCCTTGTCTAAGTCCTCATGCCAAAAAGTGGAAACTGGCATGGACTTGGCCTTAAACAGCACCACCTCTCTACTGAGCGCATCGTACGTCATGGTGGGCTGTTGGGACTTGTCAAAGAAGTGCCCACGCAGGGGCTCTGGCATGGCACGATAAAATAGTTGGACCAACTGGGACTCAGTCACCCCATGGTCCGGGACGGCCACCAGGTCGTCCATCACTGCCTTGAGTGCCTTGGCACTCCTCCACTGCTATGAGTGGATGGTTTGGAGCTTGTTAGAGGCTCTAACGCCTCTGCAAAGATCAGCGAATCGCTCCCTAAGGAGCTTGAAGAATTGAGGGAGGGGAGTAACCTTGGAATAGGCGACCATGTCGTTTTCACAACCGGCCGTGCGCGCGAGGGACTTAGCAAAACTAGCCACTTCGTCCTTGAGGGCCTGGAAGGCAACCAAGACCTGATCGTCCTGTACGATGTGCTGTAAGTAAACGTAACTGTTTACGCTAGCCTCCCAGTTATCGAAGTTCTCATCAGATTTCCCGCCATAGGCATCGGGGAACTTGAGTTTGACTGGTTCCTTGCGGGGTCTCGCCTCGCTCTCAGCAGCGGCTACTACTTTGGCGCCCTCAATGGCACCCTCACAGAGCTTCCCCATGTTGTCTCTCAACCGCCTGACTTCCCCTCCAACGTGGGTAACCATCTCGCGCGCAAAATCCCGAAAACCGGACTGCATGGCACTTCAGGGCTACCTCTTGACCCCAGCTAGCTTGGCACTCCTCCATCCAAGCCGCGCTCAACACCTCTAAATATCCCAGCACCTTATCCATCTTGGCAGTCATGTCTGTCTGCGCCTCCACTTCTTGTCTGCAATCCCTCATTTTTGCCACTTCTGCGGTCAACCTGTTAACCTCCTCCCTCCTTCTCTTCTTCTCTCTCTTCATCCTCAACTTCCATTCCAACTTCTTCTCCTCCTCTTTTTCTTGTCTTTCCAGGGGGTCCTCCATTGCTGCTAGCTCCTGGGCTAACGCATCCCTCTCGTCCTGGGGCACATAGAATTCTGCCTCCTCGTCCTCCCCCAACGATAAATTAGCAATCCACTCGCTAATCTTCTTCTCCATCTCTGCGTCTTCATCCTTCTTTGTGCCACTACTCTCCTCTCGACTTTCAATACGTTTGCTCTCTTTTTCTTCTTCTGCAGTTGCTTCCTCTTCGGCAGCCTTTCTCCTTTCTTCCTCCTCCTGCTGAACTCGCTTCATCTCCTCCTCCAGTTTCTTCATCTTTGCCGCCTGCTCCTCTGCGATAGCTTTCAGCTTTGCTTGCTTCAGGAGCTCCTTCCTCTCCTTGTACTCTCTCACTAAGGCGGCCATCTCCTGTTGCTCCTGGGTGTAGGGGCTAGTGCTCGTCCCACTACGGGTCTCAACCATGGTGACAAGTGCACAACCGGATTATGGTTCCAAACCTCATCACGTAGACTCTAACCCCTGACTGACAAACCTATTGACTCTATCTAAGGACTCACAGAATCCGGACAGGGATCCTGCCAACTAGGGTCTCTAGCCTAGACCTACACTATGGCTGTCACTACTAGACCTGTTGCTGATCAGGAGGCATTTAAGGACATCCCCCGTAACTCCTCAGGAATTATTTAACGTCGCAGACAGGACAACGCGATCAGCAGGTCTCTCAACACTTAGACGGCCTGTTGTGCAGCCCACAACTCGGATTTTGGGCCTACCGTGCCAAACCGAGCAGCCCGTCGGTCAGTACCGGTCCTTGGGAGGGTTCGTGTCCTCCGGGACAGTCGAGTCGTCAGACACAGTCTTTAGCCCTACTCAGCCCGTGTGAGTTTCGTCAACAAGGCCCTATCCTTCATCCACAGAGTACTATCACCTAGACAAAAGAGACTCAATGCAGAAAGAAGAGACAGATAGACTGGACTCAGCAAGTACCACAGGGTGTGTGCACATCCATAGGGCGAGGGATAGGTTGAAGGCTTGGCGAGATTTTACCGGCTCCAGCTTGGTCAAAGTCTTGGTCAACGCCTTGGTCAACGCCGGTCAACGCTGCAGTCAACCCCCGGTCAACCCCCGGTCAACCCCCTTCTATTCTACAGATCTACAGATCGAACCCCTGCTACCTACGGACCTATGACAGCGTACCAATTGCTTACTAGTACACAGGTCACGGTTCAACTCTCGGGGCCTACACGGGTACTGTACACGGTGGGGGTAAGGACTAGGGATCGAGCCCTGGGATCTGCATCTGCTACTGCAAAAGGTGAAAACCGTTTCAAGGCAAGAGATGGAGGACTTGGGTCACGAGAGGTATATGGAAGATCAAACACATATGTGATGAAGGAAACAACAAGTGGAAATCAGAAGGGGACCTTCAAACAAAATTGAGAGGCCATCACAACTTGCAGAAAAACTTAGAGGAACTGATAGACAGCATCACAACTTGCAGAAAAACTTGAAGAAATAGAGTCTGGAAAAAAGGGGATTGGGCAACATTGAAAGCCCAAGGAACACCCTCAGTAGCCCTTTGTTTCCTACGCCACGAGGGGGCTGATAGGTGCATAGCTAAATTTGAAGTACACGAGTTGGAAAACACAGACAAAACAATAGTGGTAGTAAGAAAGGACATGCTACCGTCTTCACCTGGATAGAACGCCCAGTCATTATAGTTGTATTTGGTGCAACTTTCAGTCTTAGATACAGTGATAATGACCGGGCATTGTATTCAGGTGAAGACGCTAGTCAGTCTAGACTTCGCCTTACGGTATTTGAAGAAGGTCAGGGAACTTAAAAATGAGCAAAAATCTTGGAAAAAGACAAAGGAAAGGAAGAAAAGGAATAGAACCCCCCGACCTGGTTGTTCAGGCCAAACAAGGACATTTTGGAGTTAGAAATCGACCCCAATGAGAGGGGCTGGTATCAAAATAGAGGGAGGGCCCAGAGGGGTAGAGCCAAAAAGTGGATTCCTCTTCATGAATAGTATACACAGTGAAACAGGGGTATAGGATAAGACGCAAACTATAAAACCCACAGTCGATAATAGCGGCAAGGTGGGAGAAAAACCTGCAAATAGACCCTGCCTTCTTGCAAACAATCCCATGGTCATCATACTATGCAATGATCAGGCCTCAGAAAGAAAAAATGAGAAGTTTACGATGGTTGATAATTTACATGGCAGTCCCTGTCAATGGTTGACGATTTACATGACAGTCCATGAATGGAGTCAAGGCGGAGAAGGGACGATAGAACAGAATCCCCAGCACACTGCAAATGTGCCAGGAGAAGGTAGCAGAAACACTAACTCACTGCCTGCTGGACCGTCAACACGCCAAAGCTCTCTGGATCAAGTGCAAGAAATCTTGGTCCATGGACGTGCTGAGAAGAGAAGCCAACGAGAAGGGCGCAAAGGTGAACTGGAAAAATCAAGGCACCATCATCCGGAGCTGGAACGTTAATGGCTTGGGAAACATATTCTCAAAGGAAGACAAACTAAATGACGTAATTAGAGGCATGAGGGACTACACAGGGTACCAGCAGACATAATCCTCTTGCAAGAAACACACCTAACTAGTTCAGAGGATCATAAAAAAATCAGGAAATTCTTCACAAGAAAACTAGGAGGAATTAAAGAACAAATTTGGGCCTAAGAGAACAACTCAAGCACGGAAGGCACGACTATCCTAATACCCAAATCCTCACGCTTCTTCACAACAGGCACAGTTCAAGGATTGGACACTGAGAATGAAACAGGGAGATGGTGCATGATTGATCTTAAATGGAAAGAAGAGGAAGTTAGAATCATCGTGTATGAACCCAATAATCCATCACATAGATCGGAATTTATGTCCACGGTGGGAAGTCTGGTAACACCTTTCTCACCTTGCATCATAGCAGGAGACTGGAACGCAGCTCTGGACCCGACGTACGACATAATCTCTCGAGCAACCACGGTTCAAGCTTCACAAGAAGCGGTTCCAGTCCTTAAGTTGATGATGGATCACAACCTGGCGGACCCTTTCGGTACGCTACACCCTGAAAAGAAAGCATTCTCGCTGGTAAAGAAAAACCACACTCACCATACGGCTTTCTCCCGCATTGACTACTTCCTTGTCTCAGAATCTCTAATGGGAACCATCAAGCAGGCTGACATTCTGGCCCTGTCTGCATACTCCGGATTAGATCACAAACCGGTTGAGATAATTCTCAGTTATGAGCAATACATTACAAGAGGAGCCAGCTTCCACAAGTTGAACAACTCGCTCCTTCTCAGTCAGGTCTTCCAGGATAGTGTACACGAATGTTGGCAAAACTCGAGGAGCACATTCTTAGGAGGACAGGATAGATGGGAATGGTTCCAAAAGAGCTACATCTCATCGTCTCAAACAGTGGCTCGGCTATCCCGAAAACTGGCCAATGACCAAAGACAGAGAAAACAGGCTCTCGAGATAGCACTAAAGATTGCAAAGAACAACTTCATAATCGACCCTTCCTCAATTCTATTCAACAACCTTCGAACGAGCAAGGGATGAATTGGTGGTATGGAGACAATGGGAATTGAAAGGCCTACAACTTAGAGCAAGAATGACGGAGTACGAGTTAAATGAATCAATGACTAAACATTTTTTTCTCGAGAATAAAAGCCAACAACAGAGCGAGCTCAATTGAAGGGCTAAAGGAATTGTCAGGCGAACAAGCCACAAGGACAGATAGTAAAGGGATGCTGGAAATAGCTAGAGGTTTCTATCAAGAACTGTACCATACAAAAACTGCCTCGCTCGCCTCTATAGCCACGAGAGAGGCGATAACCAAAATGCTACAGTACCTAGACAAGACAATCTCAGTGGAACAGGCGGCAGCGCTACACGAACCTATTACCCTAGAGGAATTGAAATTCGCTGTCCACAGCATGAAAAACGACAAATCCCCAGGGATCGATGGTCTTACCAAGGAATTCTGGGAAACGTTCTGGCCCATAATGGGCAATGACCTTCTTCAGTTCTATAATGACAATTGGGAAAAAGGGGGGATGGGAGAATTTTTGAGTAGCAGCGTGGTGACCCTACTATATAAGAAGGGGGATCGGGAGGACATTCATAACTATAGACCAATCTCCCTCCTTACCCTCCCCTACAAAACTATGGCGAAAGCATTAGCGTTCAGAATACTGAACCTCACAAATAAATGCTTTCACATAGATCAAGCTGGTTTTATCCCAGGCAGATATATACTAGACAATGTCTTAACTCTTAATGAGGCAGCAAGAAAAGTCAAGAGAAGAGGATGAATACAACTATCTTGTTCTTCGATTTTGAGAAAGCCTACGACCAAGTCAATTGGACCTTTCTCAATGCGAGCATGGAAAAAATGGGGGTGGGACTTGAATTCAGGAAATGGGTCAGGATCTTGTACAACGATGCTTCGAGATGTGTACAAGTGAATGAACTTATTTCCGAACGTTATCTGATCTCCCGGTCAGTTCATCAAGGAGACCCTTTAGCCCCACCGATCTTCCTTTTTGTCATGGAAGCGATCGCCTCCTTCCTATGCGAAGACCCCTCAATCCAAAGGTTGTCAGACCTAAATACCGGTACCCCTTACCACATCCAATTCCCAACAGTGGTGATGTTTGCAGACAACCCCACGGATCTCATAAGGGCATCTGACTCCTCTATAAAAGCACTAGTCAGGGCAATGGAAGCTTTCTGGTTGGCCTCAAAAATGAAGATCAATTGGAAAAAGACGATAAGTTGGTGGTTATCAGAGGAGGAGACACCCCAAATGGAGGGACCTGAGGCAGAAATGACATGGGAGAGACCTGAGGAGCCAATGAGGTACTTGGTAATTATGGTAACCAAGGATGGCCCGGCCCCGCCCCGCAAATGGCAAAAAACCTGCTGACCAATCAAATCAATAGAATAACGAGATGGGGTACCACATTCACCTCATTGTTGGAAAGAGCCCTAGTCATCAATACCTCCATCTTTTCAATGATGTGGTATATTGCCTCTATCAGGACTATACCAGACCAAACTATCAAAGAGCTAAACAGTAGAGTCAGAGCATACCTATGGTCAGGCGACCCAAACAAAACGAAGTACATCCCTACGATAGCCTGGCACTACATAGCGAGAAGGCCATCGAAGGGGGGACTAGGGATAATCGACCCCAAACAAGAAACCAAAGCCCTTCAGATCAAGTGGATAGTCAAGTTACTAACCCAACCTAGACTGGCTTGGCGCAAACTGGCCCTCAATAGCATCCGAGATATAGCCCCCCTCCAAAGCCCATTCAATATGGATGGCCTGTTCTGGGTAATGAATAAAGAATGGACACCCAAGATGGCCAGAAGGAGAAGACCCGCAAACTCGTCACTTAACGAGGTGCAACCTGCTACCCCGTATTGGACAACTCTAATCCACATTTGGAGAGAAATTATGCCAAAAAAAGTCAAGAAACCTAAGTCCAAAGAGGAAGTCCTACGTCAACCCATGCGTAAGGGACGCAGGGGGGCACCCACTGTCACTTACAAACGGGCATCGATGGCTCTCTTGGATCAGACATGGGGTCTGGCGTATCAGCCACATTTGGGATGAAGAGGGGAAAGATTGGATTCGAGAGGAACAACTGAGAACACGCCTAAAGGGCTGTCACCACCGAGATAAGAATATGGCAACAATAATCAACAGCATTCTGGTCAGCTGGAAGGACCTGTTAAAAGAGGACTTCTCTTGGAAATCAGGGGAGTGGGGAGTTCTGATCCAGGAAACGTTACCACAAAGAGCCTATCAATTTTATCGCAGATCTCATGGATCAGACTTTGCAGGAGTCTTCACCTCCTTCCCAATAGATTGGACCAACCCCAAAACCCTAACCATCCACAACATTGATCCTCAAGAAGAAACCCTGAACTCATATACTCTTCGAAAAGTAAGGACACTGGGAATTTGGCAGAAGACTATATTCCAAGTAGATACAGCAATTCAAGATTTAGAACTCGACCTAGATGAATGGGCCTGGACCTCAGGCAGTAACATAACATGTAAGACCCCCAGGCACATAACCCAGTACACAGTCAGAATGGGATACAGACTACTACTGAAAACAAAGGACCCAGAGCCTGTAGTAAAAGAAAGATGGACTAAACTGCTAGGACAGAGAATGGACCCAATCTCTGAGTTGCCCTGGACGAAATACAATCAATACGCCCAATCAAAATCAGAAGTCTTCAATGGTTGATCACATATAATGCCCTCCCAGTAACTCTTGGCTACACGTCCGTAGAAAGAATAGCGACCCAAATAGTCCAGAACAATGTGTGGTCTGTTCAGACAACGAACAAGAAGATTTAATTCACTGTCTCATAACCTGCAAATTCGCTACTGACTTATGGGCGAGAGCCTCTGGGACCACCTCTTTCCCTCCTCCCTTCCCGAACACCCGATCCAATTACTTTTATGGACTAACATCCCTGCTCAATTTACTAAATATGAACGCACCTGGTTCGGGATAATCAGGAAGGTAACACTTTGGGTCATTTGGAAGGAGAGGTGTTGCAGGACCATCGACAAGTCAAGCAACCCGAGCGAACAGATATGGGCAACGACAAAACCTCTAATGGAGACGGAGATCCGATGCCAGTGGAGGAAAGTTACACTCAAATCCAGCAGGACCCAGAGAAACAGCAAGAGTTGATATCAAAGTTCATGAGAATTTGGTTGGCCCACGGAAAGATCGCTCAGATTCACGGATCGCAAATCAGATGGCAAGACTGACATAACTCGATGGCTTCCCAAGAGACGA